TATTTCAAGTAGCCCAAGATGCAGCGGTGAAATTCTTGACCGGGCTAAATTTCTTCAATTCGCGATAACGGTAAATATTTATTTATTAATTTGAGAATTAAACCACAACCAAATTGAATCATTATCTACTTTAGTAAAGCTGGCTATTCTATAAGGTTTAATTTCCTCGTGAAAATATTTTTTTTTTGCAAACTAGACCCTCCTGGTCAACCTGCCATTCCAATTTAACTTTATTATTATTCATAAATTTAGGATTGGGTATCACATCATAAGACGTGTACATTATTTTTCTCTAAATTCCGGTTTTTAAGAAATTATTATTCATCGTTGTTAATGTTTCACAAAATTGGAACAATATTCAAGTTGAGAAACATTTCTCATTTTCATTGTTTCACCGCTTTCAGATTGCTTCGTCTTTCAGAAATTGGAACCTCTTTGAATACCTACAGAAATCGGAATTGTATCGTCCATTCCGATATGAATACTCGGTTTCATTGCAGTGCCAAAGCAATCGGTAAAAATTATTAGTTAACAAATGTTTGTTGAGTCATTTAGTGCAAATGTATGAGCGTGCCACGTAGACATGTCGCTTATATTATCGGTGCCACGGTCCTCAAATAGGTCATGGCTTAGAAAGAACTTCCTTCTTTGCGATTGAGGTTACATGGAAGACTTACGCCTCGATTAGGATTCGCTTTCCGACCATGCGCTAATGTTCACTTGAGAAAACCAAAGTTGCTGATTTGATTTGACACTTTTTCCTAACGTAGCTAATACGTTAAGTTGCTGATGCGATTTGAACTTTTTTCTAGACAAGGAACTAGACAAGAACTTTCTTAGCCGGACGTCGTATTTTTGCTCTTAATATGCATTTGAAAAATCTTTGCGTGTCTTAAAGTCTATAAAGGAAAAATGTGTTATGACCAGATCCACTAGCTTTTTCCAATACTTTCATAGAAATCATTCAGCGGTCTTAAAACCGGGTTTAGGGCGCACGACTTAAGGAGAACCGCGCGAAACTTGTGCCCAATTTCTCATACGATTTCTCTGTCGTTGAAAGCTTCTTTCGACCTGGCATAAGTCGAGACACCTAGGCTGGTTCGTAGAAAGTAATCCTGACCTGTAGCTCTTTCTCCATACTGAGCTTTGATGAACTTTCTTAGTAATAATGGGATACATTACAATAGCCTGTATCTTGCCTTTCTCTGAGTGAGGTGGCTTCTAATTTTGGGTGGTAATATCTTGAACTTTCAACAATTTCGGCATTCAAGTAGTAATCAAACTTAGGATGTTAGTACGTTTCAAAGGAAGCTTAGTTCAATTGAAACATAATTTCAGTTTTCAAATACAGTTGCATGATTGGTTACATTGCTGCATAATTATTAATTAGACTAGAAAACTATTTCACTCAATTTTGCTTTTAGCCACTACCCAATCTATAGCAGCCGTTTCCCTCAAGACTCACAGCTGAGTTTTATTTTCCAACCTTAACAAGCAGTTCGGTCACTGACCCTCGCATTGTTGTTGCTGAACCGGAAGGAATATATTCCATTTCCTCGTACACAACCATGACGCACCTCATGACGAACCAACATGACGCATCAGCATGACGAACCAAACTTGTTCTTGGTTACCAGTGCACTGGCGCGATGCAGCTTGAACGGAAATGCGGGACAGAGCTCAGCGTTTTTACGTACGGTTATCGCCTTATTTTATGTAAGGACTATCACTATCCAAAATGATTAGATGAAATATTGGCCCGATCACGATGTCCATTCATTCATGATTAGCTGGAGCATATCATAATAAAAGAATGGAATTTCACTAGTCTACTCGAGAATCCCGGATCATTCGTGAACGAATCTCGTTAAAATTTACGGTCGTCTCAAAATTTACAATCCAACATCGGAATAAATTTCGAAATTCCTGATATTGCTCCCCAAACCTCAATTCAGCTCTCAGCTCTCCCGCTTACTCACTCGTCTAGCTTCTCCTACCCACGCACACTCGCAGCACTCGCTGGTTTTGTCACATGGCGGTTATTCACCTAGTCATTCATTTACCCTCTGCGCCGTTGCGCTTCTTATGTTATGGAGTATGCCACTCTTCTCTCGTTCGATTTTAATCTCAGACTCAGACTCGTGATCGAGCTAGTTCACGAATAGTAGGTCTAGGTCCTGAAATCATCTTAGCTACATTAATCCTTTTTTAATAGTCGGTTAAATTAATTGCCTTCATTTGCTGTAGGGTTATTTTAAGAAATTGAGCGTCATCACTTGTGGTGCATTTGGATCAAAATGATATGGGTGGGCACTTGGTTATTATTTTAATACAAAAACTATTTTTTAGTTTTTTATAATATGTCGCACAGTACATTTATTAATAAAGTTAATATGAACTTCGTGTGCGAAAATGAACGATGCTGACGATGGCTTTAACAATGCGACTCGAAATAATGAATAAGGCTGAGTGTCTTCACAGCTCTCAGGCACTGGCGCAATTTTCGGGCTTATTCGGTGAGCGAGCGCGTCTAGTCTCGAAGTAGGTCACTGCTGCTGAGATCAGCTGCGGTCCAACCCGTTGTTGTGACCTGCAGGTGCTGCGTCTGAAGCTGCAGCTTCCATGCTAGTCCTTAGGCTACCTGCTTTGTGTGTAATAACGTTTTGTTCTGTAATTTGAATAACTTTGTTTAGATGTGACAACTCTATGATGGTAAATATTATGCAATTGCTAATGTCTCAATACAGGATCATCGGAAGGTTTGAGCTTAACGTAAAATTAAACTTGCTCTGATCTAGATTCAAGTACTGGCTTCAACCTTTTGAGCACACAGTCCGTCCTTATCTCTTACCAATAAATTTATGACTTAGGAAACATATTAATCTGAAGACTTTTGTCAATAGATGAAAGATCACTTTCTTAATTTAACTCCTTTAAATTTTAAATTTCGTCTGTAGTATTAATGTTTGAAGAAATTATTGTCATATCCGAACTTGTTTCAAACTGCACCTCTGCCAGACATACGACATTTTTATTGGCTTCCAATAAGTAATTCTTCTAAAATATCTGAGCCCTCTTGACATTAAATAATTATATGCTGTTGTTTTCTGGTTGAGTTTTGCTTCCTATTTTGTCTTCAGATAAATTTTATCACGGCAAAAACTGAGTTAAAAAACGTGCGTAGTCATATGCTGATAATTATTGGTGTTGAAATAGCGTGGAGAAGAGTCGTTAAATAGAGTTAGTAGCAGATGAAATCCGTTAACCCAGCAACATTTTTCGTGGTTATGTTCGGTAACGCATGAAAAGTTCATCATGTAATTTGTAAACTGAAAAACCCGCATTGCATGGAATGAGAATACCGCATTTATTTTCGAAAGACAATCCCTTAACTCTTGGTTACTGCGCGCGGCGTCAGTAGGACTTCCCAAGTTCAATGTCAGCATCGAGTGCTCAACCGCCTGCGTGGTCGCCGTCTCTGCTGCTGGAGCAGGTTTGTCTGCCACACACGCACGCGTGTCGTCAGCCCGCTTCTAGGAATGAGGTTAGGTTAGGTGTAGCAGCGCTCGCGGTTGTGGCAATCGCACCTAGAGGGCGTTTGAAGGGCTTGCGTTCGGAGGGCACCTGGAGGACAGGCTGCGAATACAGTTCATCTCAACTCTGCATGGAGGACGCCTTATTCTGCAAATCTAAAAGCTCCTACGTAATTTGAAAGCTTTTTGCCTGCAATGATGTAAGTTGATGGACCTAAAGTTCTTTTTTTTATAATGTTGGCCCTTCAGATAAAATTCTATCGTTGAACTCGATATGTTTACTCCTAGTTCTTTCTCTTAAAATTCATTTGACTTCTGTGTGTAGGATTTTTTATTTTCATATCACAGTCATTTTGTCACTATACTTCAGTTATCGCCGCGCATTAAGTTTCAGTAAGAATTGCGCGTCTTTCTCGTATTTTCTCAACGCCTGTCGACCCGCCAGTGCATGACGTCATTCGAACCATCATGTGGTTGGTAACTAGGCCTGGGTTACTCGAGCCGCTACGCTCTGGCGTAGTTCAGTTAGTCACGATTTAATAATTCTAAAAGATATTACGAGCTTTTCAGAGAATTTTTTGCGATGCGAATTTTAAAGATAACTTCTAATGTTGACTGCTTATTCTTGTTAACGGATATTCCTATTTATTTGAAAGCCTGCACTGCCTTTTTTCTATGAATGATCAAATATTTAATTCACACTTGAAAACCAACAGCAAGGAGGGATTATTAGGGTTCGACCTTTCAGGAATTTGTTGTCCAGTTCAATAAACCAGCGAAAAGTATGTTGATATTCAAACTGGCTTGCATTTCTTGGAAATTCAACTTATGTCTTCCTGAACGGAAATTCCGAGAAAATTAGCCATCTTACTCACTTCGAGGCTTTCATCTCTATTTTGAACACCCAGTCGTTGATTCTGATTCCGCCGTTAATACTGACCCAAGTTGCAAATATTTATCACATGATAATGAACAAAATGCCTTAACATGAATTATAAAACTGGTTGTTTACTCGCGTAGCTGGAACCTGTTCTGTTGAGATTCTGGGGTGCGTTCTTTTCCAGTACCTAAACTAGTCTCCGGCATCTGCAATGTGGGTCACTTGAGGTCACCTCCCAGTCTAGATGTTGAAGATGACTAAAGTAAGCTGCAAGTTCTTGGTAACGTACGCCGGAAGTATTAGTCGTTCAGTAACGTTAGCTTAGCCTTTCTGCTGAGCTATAAGAGAACTTGTATCGTATTCTCGTATTTAGTTGAAGGCCATGTGAGTCTTGTGGAGGGCGACCCTGAAAACTGTGGTTAGCATGGATTACATTGTTGCATTTTGTGAATTTTCTACGAATGGGCATTGTTTCGACGAAGTGAGTATTTGTATGCGATTGATTTACTTCTAGAATGTTTATTGTATCCCGTCCAAATGAATACAAGCAATAAATTTTTCTGATATCCACGTGTTCTTTGCTGCAGGGTTTCTTCCGCCGGAGCATCCAACAGAAGATTCAATACAGACCATGTAGCAAGAATCAGCAATGTCTGGTGCAGAAAACCAACCGCAACCGCTGTCAGTACTGCAGGCTGAAGAAATGTATTGAAGTCGGCATGTCTAAAGATGGTGAGTAACGAAGTTACATTATTTTCAAGGTTAGCAGAAGCACAGGCCGGCTTTGTCAAATTCTCAAAAGTTGAATCTCGGATTTTTACAGAGTAACTGGTTCATTGATTATCCCTTGAATGTGGCGTATGTTTTTTACTCCATATTTTGAAAATCCTAAATAATAAAAAGCACTTAACCGTGTTCGTTCCGCGTTTAATTTTGAGAGCCAAAAAATTATGAACTTTCTCGCTGCTATTTACCACTCTTTGCTCAGTAATTAGAGACCATCCTAGGTACTTCCTTCGCCTGGTCTTGTTTCATGTAAATTTGGCTGGTGGCTGCCGTTTGCTGGACTTGAGTGACTTGCATACTTGTCTTGCGGTCCTCCTCGTTATCGCGCCAAACAGAGAAAGGTCACTCCGTTATTTAGACGAGATGCGGCTCTGTTGAACCGGACCATCTCGAACAAGTGCCTACTAACCTCCACCCAAATGATGGGACTCGCCGTCTGCTAGATTAGTGCGTCACTGTTTGGACGCGGAATACGCCATAAATTTTTGTGTACCTAGGATCGTTTGTGTATTGAGTTTAAAAATGAGTTATGCCCGTAAATTAACAATCGCAATGTCAACTCCCATCATATGGGTACGCCGTAAGTTATTGTATGAGTTTCTCGGCGCTCTTTTTTTCATGACGAACTTGATATTATCCTGGAGCGTGCAAAGACACTTAATAAAGTGGAATAATCGCGAAATAATATTTATTTGAATTCTTGATCTTTTTTTCGATCTTTTTGCTGTCAGTACTTTCCGTTCCTAACTCAATCTGGAATGAAACCGTTGCCGACTTTTAACCGTTCGTAATGTTGCCCTAGAAATGCCGCCAATAGTTTCCTCCGCCGCCGTGGCTCCCATGCTGTCTTTTTGACGAGCTTCTGAAGTGGGCTGTGTTTGCGGAACGTGTGATGCTCCTCCTCGTCCCGGACAACTTCTCGTGGCCTGGATTCTGCCGCGGGGCCCCAGTTTGACCCGAGCCATTTCTCCGTTAGGCGAGAGACTTGGATACACTTAATCTTCTAGTTCGGGTCGCCAACGTTAAATTTTCTTTCCTCGGTTCAACCCTGATTTATGGCTTTAAACATAGTTGACTTGGCTTTATTTTTTAGGCTTCTTAAGCGGGCCACGAGGCATGTTAACAGCTGCTTTGTCACTAAGACTGATGCTGGATACGTAATGCAGTAGTCAACTCGTTCAGACGTTCATATATCTTAATCGAATGCATAATGGCTTTATGGTGCCCAGAACTTTGTCCTATTTACATCACTGTCGGTCACTCTAAACCAAAGCCAGTACATGTTAATTGATCGCCCTGTCACTTGATTGTCCTGGGTTCTCTTTAGTTGTCTTGTGTTGCACCAAGTTTTGAACATTTACATTGAACGAATTATTGGCTGGCGCAGTCGCCAGCTGAGACCTACTTCCATGCGCCTAATGATGGCAGGCATCACAGAAGTGGAGCGCAGCGGCTTCTGCAGAGCATCATAATCACCTAAGTTCAGTTCTGTGTCGTCCCTAGTCAGTGTTCCTGCTGACAAAAAATCCCCTTGAAATGAATGATCGCTCGATGATTTTGAGATATCCTGGCGAGTTTTGTAATAGTATATCCGCTGAGCTATTCCCGAATCATATTTTGTTCGCGTGGGAAGCTTGCTTGCAATTTATTTTGATTTTATTTACCTCTCCTAAAATGAATTTGTTTAAGTGATCGAAGTTTTTAGTAGAAAGTCATTCTTTAATATTGATTATATTAATCATAAGCAAGCATAAATATGATGGAAACTAACGTCGTGACTATGGAATATGGGATTCCGTATTTTTTAAACATCCATGGTTTTTAGCGCATTTTCTCATTTATGGAAAGAAAGGCGCTATTGTGCTCGTCATGTCCGTCCGTCCGTGACTTTACGGACGAGCGGACGAGAAAATGCGCTCTCTGTCACTCACTGCAGTGAGTACTGATCTAATTTTTTCCGTCATTAAGGGACGTTTATCAAAATATTATTCCTTTTTATTATACTTAGCTTTTGAAATTAAATTTTGCAAGCTATGCCGAACTAATTTTTTATATCCCATTGAGTTAGAAAGAGTAATGACTAAAGGAAACTGGAAGATAATAACAAGTATATTGGGCAAAATATCTTATAAATTATGTTTAACTCATTAAAAAGTAATGGTGAGAGTAATCTCGTGAAAACGCCGTGTCAAGGTGCTTATGATGAGTGTTCAGTTCGCGGTTCTTCCTCGTTAACAAATATATAAAGAACTTAAACGTCGATAGTAGCACTGAACGTTCCATCATAAACTGCCACATTTTGCTCTAATTGTTGTTTTGTTGACGTGGCTTCCAGCTCCAGACGATGTATGTAGCACGCTCTAAACGCCAGTGAAATTTTCAGACGCTAAGGTGATTGAGCTCAGCTTTCAAGAATCTTTTTAATCTCGTATAACGAGTGGATTTTTGAAGTATTTACTTTACATCCATTAAGTTGTAATTTAGTTTTTTCCCTGTAACGTCATTTATTCCGAAATTATTCTTTACTATTATCATTGCTTTATTGAAGAAAGTGAAACAATGTGTCTTGTGTCACCATTGCACTTCAAACCTGGCACGTCTATCCTTCAAAAACAATAAATATCCCGTTGATTTTATCATCGATTCTATTCAAATTAACCTGGAATTGTAAAGCTTTATCCATTTAACCGTGAACCCGTTCATCGACCCGCGGATTGTGCGTTCATTGTAAGAATGGGTCGAGGCAAGCGGCTTACGACCTGCCAAGGTTAACCGGGACTCTGCTAGGGAGCAGAAGACCAGGTGACGGAGGGGCGGACATGTCGAGAATCCTGTTGTCCAGGGCGATAATATTATAATTAGACCTCCTCTACACGCATATCATTGCCTTTTTGATGTTATTTACAATTCAAATACCCTCGTGCGAATTTTTTCATGTATTGCCTAACGTCTTTCATGCAATTCTCTCTCTAAATCATCAACTCAATTCCCTGTCCTATGTAAAAATAATTATTGTTCAGAATCTAATTTCTGTACGATTGATTCATTGATGAGGAATAACGGTAGAACTGCCGTTAGCGGATTAGAATTTGTTGAAGTAATGCTAGCCTCTTAGTTCTGGTATAAAAAAAAAATAATTTATCCTGAGATTAGATTTGTAAGTTCGTTGCCTTGCAGTGTCTTGAATTTCTAGCTTCCATCTCCTGTAGATGGGTAATGTTTAACCGTATGTAGGTTATGAGGGTACTTCTTTTGTTTTTTACGAATGTACTAGACTCTTCATTCGAGTGACTAAGGACCCCCATTTCGCTGAACGTCCAACTAAGCGCATCTAATGCTTCTTTTTGTCCTAGTAAATAAGACCACAGCCTGCCGTAGCATGTGCCAAGATAACAGTTCGTCCTCGCCCTGCTCTGCGCGAACGCTGCGTCACGAAATGTAGAGGCTGCGAGGGTCAACGACTTCCCTTGATATAAACACGAACGCGTTGGTCATGCTGACTTCAGGGGCGTTATCGCTCTTTATCTATGTGCGGGCCTCTGTTTGTACCTCCGCTGTGCTCTAAATTCGGTCAATGCAATGAAGAGGCAACTGCTCCACACGACGGATGCGTATGGTTCGGATTTTCAGGTCATCACTTTTTTTATTTTATGTTATCAAAACGACTACTGAGCCAGCGTATGCAATCATGTGATGGTCGAGTAGAAACTTTTCAGTCTATAAATGATAATGGTAATCATCTTGATATATGAGAACTCCTTGTAACTGATTTCTTCCATAATGGTTTTCAGCTCATTGAACCTCGTTATTTACTCATATGCTCCTAACTTAAGATCTCTTCCTTATCGGTACAAAAATTTTGCGCCTTTGAAATTCAAACAACATTTAGGCGGAATAATCAGTGGATCAAATTCCAGAACAAAAGTGAATAAGAACATTTAGTTGATATTACAATGCAACGACAATTTCCAGTCCCAACGGATTTATGTGTTTAATTCAATTACAGTTGATAGACTACAATAGTTGATTTTTGGGTAATAATAGCAGCTTCACAGTGACATCCCTCGCAACTGTCTTGAGTGCGACCAGCGCGCTGCACCTGCATCGAGAGTACAGTTGAACCTTCACTACACTGCGTAAATGTTTCACCTTCTCGATCGTTCTCAATAACACCGTCGTCGGCACCACCCCCTTGCACTCTGGATGTCAGGTTCCAGAGAACAGTTTCACCTTCACACGCGGCGACTGCTCTAACCTCATGCGACTCTTTGCTGCTTCACTACGGAGGAGCCGTTACGCCACAGCGTACAGACGGGCCCAAACAACCAGCTACTGTTTGGCTGCGCTCCGCTGCGCGCGCCGTTTTTCCGCCCGCAATTTGAGAGAATTTTATCGGCGGCAACCACTCTTTAATAACTGCTCCTTTGCTTTATTTGCGTATGCGCGCGATTCCGCCAGTTCTTTAAAAGTCTTGGTATCGTGAAATTGTTCAAGCTTATATTTCGCTCCCCGCCAAAACTGATAGTGACTAACGACGAACTTCTTCGAGTTTTTCCAATAAATGTTAATTCTTGTTTCTTGATCAAGCTCACCATCTAAATCCGACATCCCACTCTTAATTTATCACCCTCTTTTAAAATTAACTGAATCAGTAGTCGTAATTTTGTCGACATAACTGTTCGCATTTATGGTTGTTATTTTTCTACGGGAGAGGCCGGGAACTTGTTGGCTTTAGTTAGCGGTTGTGGTTGCGTTTTCGTTAGATGCAGTTTCTTGGGAGACAGAGCCGTCTAATAGCATGTTACGTGCGGTGCTAAGCGAGCCAAGTCCCACGCATTATTTTCTTTCAAAACCTCGAGGTACTGGAAGCCGTGTTACGCTCGCATGTTCTCGAAGAACGGGATCACTAAGTCCGCAATGGGAGCTTGGAAGACGTGGCGAACTCG